GCACTATACCGTGAGAAAGGAACAGAAGGAATGATCATCAGAAAATTATCTACAAAATTAAAGAGTACCGATGTATAAGTAACACGGGTCACTGTAACGATTAATTAGCAAAAGGAAATTCATAAATAATCTATCAAGAAAACGAATAGGAATTAAGGAATTTAACGTCACCCTTATTAGGGACCGCCAATCAGATACAACCACCCCACTTAACATACTTTCCTCCAACCTCCAATAAAATATGCGTATGAGGATCCTTATCATGGTCCTGCCATGTAAGAGAAGATTTTGCGGCACCCTCATTATAATTTAACCATTAAATTATAATGATTCGGTATCCTGAGATGACGCGTGTGTTATCAGTAAGGAACGGGTCTCTTACCTCATTTTATTTTTGCCTGTAAATCATACTAAGGACGAGTTTACTTAGAGCAAAGTCCTATACCGCACCAAAGTATGTGAGAGAGGCCTTAACCAGCAAAATATATAATAAATATAAAATAATGTTTTAAAAAGAAACTTTTTGTCCACGCAGTGTTTGAAATAATTTTAACCAATAAAGAAAATTGTTTATGACCGAAAATTCTTTAACATGAAATAATTTATTACTGTTTCGAGATAAAAAAGTTTGCAAAACATTAAAAGGAAAGGATAAAAAACTACGAAGTAGAAATAAAAAAAATTACTTCGTTGGAAATGATAAGAAAGAGGGATGGTATTTATATATAAAAAGATTGTCATACAAAAGATTTTTTCCCACGGAGTTTGCGTCATGATCAAAATTTTTTTTTCTGCGAGATGACTCATGATAATTGATCATGTGATCATGTGATCATGCACGATAAAATTTTTTTATAGCTGAGATTGTAATAACAAAGTGAGCGTGCATAATATTATGGTAGCTACTCCGCCGATAATTTTTTATATATGAGACGCGATTTGTATATTAGTTTATTACACAAAATCACATGCAGAGAGACATCGGTAAAATTCAGAACAAGGTAGAAATTATATTGATAGATTCCCGAGTAAAGCGGTATAGTTTTTAACTTCTACCGAGTTTTACGAATTACTTTTGACAAAATGTTGAAGTGTCCATAACTTATGAAACCGGCTGTAAATAAATAATTATTTATTATTGGAAACGAAGTGCTGCATTAGATAATTAAGATAATAGTATTATTGGTTTGACAGGAGATGCAATTTATATCTCGTTATTAATTTATGCAGGATAACTATAAAATCGCCTGTGTTTATTGTAAATAAAATTATTACAAAAAATCAGTGTCAACTTAATGTATTAGGAACACGAAGATATAATAGTATAGGATACTACTACTTCAGATTCATTGTCTCAAGTTACAAACCCAATCGGGACCAGTAGGCAGTAGCCATATTCGCTATGAAGCTACCAGTCGTTAAGCCTCATCTTTGGGTTTTTTCTGTGTTCTGGAAGAAACGCCAATTATACCGGGGCTTTCATTTTGAGAATGGAGCAGCCGCGCTCAACAAATTATGCAACATGCGAAGCGCGGCGCAGAGCAACGACAGCTCCGCAGCTCCTAATCGTCGATGCACCCAGTTTTATTTGAATGGTAAGATAATGTAAATAATTTTTGAATTAATTAATTAGTATATTTTTTTTATAGACTCTTTTATAGAGAAATGATGAATTTCTTATTCATAAGTCCTGAAATGTTAATGGTGTCAATTTTTATGGTTACGTTTATCGTTAATCCAGTGTTTGTCATGGGACACGGACACGGACATTGGACAGTCCCGAAACGGACAGTCCGGTCCATGTCCGCTAGTTAACAGCTTGTGCGGACAATTCAATTTAACCTTATTATTTAAGATCCATAAAAATACACATATATTCCAATGTTTTTGGTGTATAATTTGCCATTCTCCTCAGCTTTAATAATTATCGCGAATTTTTACGCTGTTTTACGCGTTTTTCATAATAAAATGTTTATATTAAAAATATTAATAACATCTCCGTTTTTTGTTGAATATTTATTATAGTTCTATGAAAATAATAGTTACTTTTTAAACATATACAAATTATTTAAATTTAAATAGATATTATTATACATGACGTTTTAACATAACTATAAAGTTTATTATTATGAATTTATGATAGCTTCTGTTGAACAAGAATTTGATTGGAATGAGAATCATAGTCTAGATTCAACGAGCGACTTACGATGTGATAGCGATGGTAAAGCTTAAAAATTATAGTATACAGATAATTTATATTTCATTTAGCGACCAAATAGATTTAATACAAAAATTGGTAAATGTGCTATATGAGGGCGGTGGTAAAGATTGTTATAATATACCATTTTTTTGGTGAGAGTCAATGGCATTCTTATTTCGAAATTGATAATTATGCCATCGATTATTGCTTCCTACGTGTCCTACATAAAAAATTTTAATTTTGATAATTAATATGTCAATATTTTTTATTTTTCGATATTTAATATTTCAAAATACGAAATACTTTTACAATGCATAATATAGAAAGTTACTGTTTTATTTAATGTATCAGGTATTTGAAATGTTACTTTCTAAATGAAACCGCAATTTATTTTATATAAAAGGAAATTATATTTCGTACGCGGTCAATACCAATCTTTTTTCTTACGTGTTCGGATGAATACCTCATTTGTTTATTATTATTTTTTTTAATAGATCTTTGTTTGTATTTTTATTCCCTATATATGTTAAAAAAATTCATGGTGTCATCCTGCTGGTATTGGATGTAATCCTAATAGTAATAACACAATTAGTTCGCGTATGTTAATTTCAAAGTTCAAACTATTCCTATTATTATTGTTCACAATTTTTTTTAATAGCTTTCGTTTCTAGTGTTACAAATGCTAAATGGTTACCGGATTCGCAGGAACCAGAAATCACGGTTGTTGGTCCTTCGAATGATTTGCCTGCAGAAACACTCGGTCATTTTACCATGGCCACTGCGGTTGTAGTTATTTAAAGGTTTGTTAATGACCAGCATTGTAAAGATATTGTAAAGATGCTGGTCTACTCCATTCACATCCCGTTGGAAGTGCACTAAAGAGTGCACTAAATACGTGTCACTCATTAATATTAACTATTTTAAACTAAGCTATTTTCTAACAGTATATAATATAATATAATATATACTACTAGTATTATTGTCTTCATTTGTATAAGTGATGGAACAAGAGTGAAATGAAGACAAAGAAAAAGAGCGAGATAAATAAGAAGGGATATAGTTAATATTTGGATTATATATTGAGGTTGTACTCTTGGTTCAGCTGCTCCTCTTCGTGTAGATTGTTTTTGGAAGGAGTAAAGGTCGGATAATATCTATGCGAAGTATTGTCTTTTTATAATCCACGACTAGTTGTGCTTTATAATTACAATTGATCGAGTATAAATTCCTAAAAAAAAAAAAAATATTTAAAATTATTATAACAAATAAATTGATAAATTTTAAATACTAAATAATATATAATAACAAGTTTATAATTCCAGGTTCAAAATCGATGTAATCATCATCTTGATAGTATTGAGCATAATTTCAAAATTTAGTTGATTCTCGGTCAATTATATGGAAACCGTAAATATTATTTATTTTAATTATCAATTCGTAAAACTTGTTGACAAATAAAAAAAATAATAAAGATCTTTGAACGAATTTTCATATAATAATGTATATGTACATGATAACTTAAATAACAAGTACTGTATATAATAAATTAATGTTAATATTATAAATTCAATATGTTGGACGTATGTAAAAATAATTTAAATGGTTTCAAAAATGTGGGATACGTAAAGCGTTTAAACTAAGGGCTGAGATATATTTACTAAATTTTGGTCTTGTGAGATAAAATACAACAAAGAGAAATTATTTTGTAGATGGTTTACAGCCGAATTAGGATTAGCAGATATAAAAGAAAGATGTAATAGCAAGCATATAAAGAAACTGAAGGTACCGTGAAAATTTGGGATTTTATGCAAAAAGGGTTAAGTTTTCGCTTTTGGTACATTTCTTCAGATCAATGGTAAATTGGTAGTATTAGCAAATTTTCATGAGAAGAAAAAATGGCAAACTCGGCGGAAAAGCTATAGAGCTAGAAGGCCCTGAAGACGCTCAGATAATGAAACCGAATCATAAGCTGTTAAAGAAGTCGATAGAAAAGAAAACGTTACCAATTTCAGATGATCAATTAGCTGAGTGGAGTCTTTTACGAAAAGAATGGGAAGAAGCAAATAGTGAAAATTTATTAGAGAAAAAAGTTAATGAGTTTAATACCTTGAACGCGGGTTTGAGTCAAGACTTCAAAAAGATCAAGAAGTTAATAAAGACTTAAAGCAAGAAGCGCGTTAATGATGGGGACGAAAAAAAAAGAAGCCTTAATTATCGAAAAAAAATATAACTCATCTTTATTATTACTACTAATTTACTAAAATAAATAATAATTTTTACTATAACAAGATTCCTTATAATAGAGCTTTTTCCAAATTACCACGAATTTTCAGTCAATATAGTATTCAAATTAAACGATATTGTCATGAAATTGAAATCAATTTCATGTGATGTTATGGAAATCATAAACTTTTGTCTAATTTTGATAAACATTTACCTTCTTTGCGGCGAAAGAATTCTTCTTTCTTGTTCTGACTCTGGTACCTTATTACTTGCGTGAGCGGATATCCAAAGATTACGTTTCTTTCAAACATTAATCATATAAATGAAGGACTGAAGGTCTATCATATCAAGGACCATGTCATTAGGCGTTCTTAATGGTAAATTTATTAAAATAAATAATAGATCTATCGTAAATATTCCATAATAATATGTTAAATAATCCCTTATAAAAAAAAAATAAATAAATAAAATTCAAAGAACGAAATTCTGATAAACTTTATAAAAAAATTATTTTCACTAATTTTAAAATTGATAATAGTATTTTAAATCAGATTAATTACGAACCTGACCTGAACATTTAGTAAATGTTTCCTCATAATATGTATAGTCACAATTTTAATCACTAGTCAATGAAAAAAATAATGTTATTGATAATATAAAAAATTGTAATTTTTATTTGTAATTAATAGAAACATTAATTTTATAACGTGTAAAAATTTAGTTGGATATTTTTTAATAATCAAAAAATTTAATTTGCCGACCTTTATAATACACATCAAATTATTTGATCAAGTGTTTCGGCATGTTAAGTACAATGATTTGACATCATCTTCACGTCAGACATGAAATTATTGTATAAACAAGGGAGTTTAACATTAATTTCGGGGCAATATGGAAGACACTAGAACGATTTATCAAAGATAATGGTATAGATATTAATGTTTGTTAAAAGTCATTCATATTAAACGATATAGCTGATGGTCTATGCAAAACAGCACATTTAGACGAAAGCGATAATAATAAAAGTAAAGTCAATATTAAGAATGACTATACGTGGGAATATTTAGTATTTTGGAGAAATACTAACCAGTTAGCTGATTGGTTAGCGTTAAACGTTAATAGATCATATAGGGTTAAAATTACGGATGTTGAAATAGACTGGAAAGCGTCGATTAATATAATTATGAAAGAGTTTCAGGGTGATGTTTCTAGTTTGAATAATGATCTTACTGCCTATAATTTAAAAAATTATTTAGAAATTTTACCGACATTTACAATGTTAAATCAAAGAAATCTGGAACTCTATGAAAGTAGTAAATGTTGTCGATGCAATGTTATGATTGAAACGTGACACATGTATGGATTTGTAAAGAAAAGGATCCAACGATTAAACAGATAATCAATGAAGCATTTGATAAGTTGAAAGACAAATTAGATGAGAATAATTTTCGAATACCATTTAATTATCATGCCAAATTATTGCAGATATTGGATGATAGATCGTTCCTGATTTTAATGGAAGAATTTTTCATGAAACAGTTAAAGGTATCGTCAATAAAAAACTGTTTAGAAATCAACGATAATGTTTTCAAGGATGCTATACAAAAGTTCGTGGTCAATATAAGGAATTATGCCAGAATTTAAATTTAGAACGAATGATGTAAAGATGTTATCAAATGGAAAAAAAAGAAATGAAGATGAAAATGCTGGGAACAGGAACGATCATTAATTGGGTCATTTGGTACAAGTGAGAGAATTAAAAATAGGTTTAGTTATAATATTTTGAATAGATGGATAGGTTTTATAGTAGAATCAGGGATAGGTTTAATACAGTATGGTTTAATAACAATTTAACAGATCTATGGAATTTTCACAATGTAGTTACGCTTAGGAGCTCGCATTATGTTAGTGATTATTTTTTTTTAGATAGGTACTTTATTTAACGGATGTTCTTGAAACGTCTACATTGTAACATTGCGGCGGATTTATGAAATTTGGCAAAAACCCTGCTGCGCCCTCGGGAATTAAAATTGACTTACAGAAACATTAAGCTTTTTTCCTAAAAATGTCAAATATGACGCACCTTTAACACTGGAAAAATTGGTTAGACGCAAGATTTGGGGTACAAAAAAATTTTTTAGTTGACTGTTCACTAATAAATTTGGGAAATTTGGTGACAAAGATTGTCAAATATTTATTTAATTTGACATGACGGACAAATTTAGGGTATTTCATAAATCCGCCATGATTATAAATTATGATGTATAAATATTACAATATTAATCATTCTTTTCATATACTGATAAATTACTTTTTTTTGACAACAATGATTTATTCCCAAGTATATATACATCTCACCTTTTCAACCTTTTCTTAAACTTTTCTTCAAACTTTCTCTTAAAATTTCAAACTTTCTTAAATACAATCGATACGATATACTCGGAAACATTTAAATATTCTTAAAAGCTAAAACATCATCCAGTAAACACTTTTCTGCAACGTGTCCACTTACTATGTCAAATTATTTCATGACCACGCAAGTTCTAGGTATATTTATATTTTGTAGCAATGAAAATAAGTATTATGCTGTATAAAATAAAAAAAAACAGTGCGATTTATATTAGTTGAAAATTAAGTTTATTGTATCAACATTTTAAAATATGGGAAAGCAATAAAAAAAAAATTTTATGTAGATGTATTTTGTGTTTTAGGGTGTTTCAAAACCAAAATCAAGTGTCCAACGTTCATCCGGATCAAAAATTAAATTAGTATCCATGTCACATCTACAACTCACAGCAACACTCGGTTAGATCGAAGTTTACTTTCACTAAAAACAAGATTCTAATAAATAAATGTAGTTAGCTTTTAAAATGAAATGAAAAGAATGAAAAAAATTATCAACGTCTATAGCTTTGATAGGATCACATAAAATGACCACACAAGATCTTAGGCAAAAATGTAATACATTAAAGGAACAGTCAAAGTAATAAAGAAAGAAGGTTTTGCATTACTGGAAGGAGCTATAAATAATTTCTGTGAAGAAATAGGAAATCTAGAACATAATTTGACTATAAATAATTTATGTAAAGACATGGGAAATCTAGAAAATCATTTGAGGAATACGTATGAGACAATGGAAGAACAAAACGAACTCTCAAGTATAAAGTGGCGTCTGGTGGATTCTGGCATTGATCTCAAGAAGAACAATATAGAGTTGACACAAGAAGAACAGGAATGTATTAACAATTTAAAGAATTTACTAAATGATGTTGAGACGTCAACCAATGACTTGAAGTTATTGCAACAGGTAATGGATAAAAGTAATGTTAAATTCCAAAGTAACAATCAAACCTTAGAAGAAGCCAACATGAGACTTTATGATCCAGTTCCCAAAGACTCACAAGTTTATAAGCCTCCTTTACAGAAGACCCTTGGAGCGATTAGTAAATGGCACAAATCTACAAGCAAAACTTAGGAGAAGTCAAAATGAAACTTCACAAACTAGTTCCCGAAGACATAAAAAATTTATAATAGAAGGCTCTCAAAGCACTTGCAAATCTTAATAACCAAAGCTTAATTGCATTAAATATTATAATTATTAAAATTAAAAATTAGAGATTTATGTGCTTCTTCATACAAATAAAATGCTTTTTTTTATATTTGCAAAACTTATTTTTTTCTTATTTGCCAGAAAATTTTTTACAAAAGCTTGGGACTGTTCCCATGATACATAATGAAGTTTCGTATTATTCCTAAATCCCAATTCTTTTTCCTGCAAGATCGGTGATATTTTTTTTTATGTTTTTAGCATTGCCAACTGAAAAGCAAGAATGTAAGGAATGTAAATGGATTTTTCAATATGTGAAAAACGTGAATGAATTAGAATCTGGAATTAACTCGATTTATATTGGATTAATCGTACAGTCATGTGTAAGTTATGTGTAAGTTATGATTTACGTAAATTCGTTAAGTGAGATAGATTTTGATGATATTAGTATGCAATTTCACCTTTTATTTTAACAGTAGATTAATTATTTCATCCCCAACAGCGATCAATGAAATATTTTTCATATTATTTTATCAACATATGAAAGTTTTTTGCGGCAACTAACATATTAATTTTGTGTCTTAATATTCCACATGTAGAATTACGTGTATCACTCAATAACTCAATAAAAATAAAAGTTTCAATATTTAATAGTTATTGGATGGAGGAATAGGGATATCGGTCTTCTTATACATATTTTTTGCAAGAATTTCATATAACTTTTTCAATATGTTATACAAGTACACCAGTTTTACATGAAACTCTTGTAACAGACATCCAATCAATTAAAGAAACAAATTGCTACATGCAATACCTATCGGATATACATATATTGTTTAATGTAAAACTTGTCCATCCAAAAGAAAGAAAAGAACGTTATTATTCACAGGTAATGTTAAAATTTTGAAATGGAATTAAGAACATTTAGTAGTGCGTTAATTTTAGCCAAAATGATTGACATCAAGAGAGCAGATTATTCTATAATAACGTTAAAAAAAATTGATGATCTAACGACTGTATTAAATTATTGAAATGTTTTAAAAATTGAAAATTGGTACAGTTTGTTAATTTTTGTACATTTTGAAACAAAAGTATTTATGTCGTATTTATGTGATTATTACAAAGTTACATCTCTATATCATGTTAAGTTCAAATAATATAAATGTAAGCAAAATAATTCTTTAATTAGCAAATTCATAAAATGCTTCGAACGCCTTTAAATTTCTCAATTCATTTTAACGATTATTTCTGAAATTCATTTTACCATTTTAATCTTATAAGTTTACTATGTCCTTAAGCTTCCATTCATTCTTTTAACTGGATTGACTACGGGCCTATTATTATTAAACAATAATCCATGTCATATTAGTGTCTTTAAAGTCTACTTATCAAAGAAACAATGAAAATTGGATGAAACACCAAAAATGCAAATTATAGTGAAGGCCTCAGCGAACAAAATAATTAATCCGGTAATACGTAATATTTATAAATATCGTATAACTTAAGTCTTGGAAATGGATTCTGGCACCATTAAATCGGATGTATGGTAAATTTAAAGAAATATATATTACTAACAAGAATTCATGTTTAAAGGGGAGTTAGGACTATAAAATGTAAAATATATGAAATGTGATTTATTTTGAACTTGTTCATTTATGACATTCGAATTTATAATAAATATTTTTTAAATATAATTGAGTTAATAAATTTATAAATTAAATTGATAATTGAAAAATTTACAATAATTTATTATCTTTAATACACGCCAAAGAATGAGAAAAAAAAATCATTAAATAGATTATGAAGGGAAAAAAAATTTAAAAAAATCAGGTTTGCATTATATTTGATCGCTTATCTTACAAGCAATAACTTCAGTTTAGGCATTTACTATCGCTATCACATCGTAAGTAAGAATATTCGTATCGCTAAAACTTCAAATATAATAAATTGATGTCCGTTATGAAATTTTATCGTACTCTTTGTGGTCGAAATACTCATTTATTTAATTAATTTCTATCAAAAAAGAAGAATGGTTAATAAGGTTTATAAAAAAAAATGAATAAAAAAAATTCACTTTACTTTAAAGAAACCAAATGGCCATTCTAACTAGTTTCTATAAAAAAAAAATGGTTGGCAATATTCCTAAAAAGAAAACAGAAAAGATATGAAAAACTCCCATTTTAAAAAGGTTAAATGGCTGTTCTAACGGTTCCTAAAAAGAAGAAAAAGAAGGAACAATTAGTATTTCCAAAGAATGTAAAAAAAAGATAAAATAAATTTTCTGCACTTACCTAAAGGAAGCAAATTGGCCGTTCCAAATAAAAAATTGTATCAAGTTCCTAGTTAAGATCATCGCATTTTAATTGGCTGAAACATTTTGCCACAGTTTTGACATTTCGCATAGTTTAGACGTTTCGATATTGCCAAAACATTTCGTTATCAGATTAAACGTTACTAAGTAGAGTTTTGACATTTCGCAAAATTTCCGATAAGTTTCGCCTGGTAACATTAGCATGTATGTATGGTTATACCACGATTTCTGAATAACCTTTTTTCTGATATACCCTTTGCCCAACAATGATTGCCTGACAAGATACTGTATATTCCCAAATGAACATTTTACTGACATAACACATTACCCAATGGATATTATACCGACATGCTATTTTTCCTGATATGGCATTATCCTGACAATACATATCCCAACAGACATTTTTCCAACATGACATTTACATTAAAAAAGTTATTTAAAATAAAATATATGGAGAAAATTTTTATTTGTTTATTCATATATTTATTTAATAAAAATTTGCAATTTCATGTATACAGTATATTTCATTTCATAGTGCAAATTTTTAATAAAATAACTAGCAGCAACCCATTGCTTCCTTAGAAAAATATGATATTTTAGTTGCATTTATTAAATTGCATACTATATGGTTCATTTTGATTTTAAAAAATAGATAAGTGAAAAACTCTAAAAATCTGAAAATCCATAAATTTAGAAGTAGAGATAAAAAAAAGTATAAATAAAACAGGGGTCAAAAGAAATTTCTTTAATCACAGATGATCTGTTAATAATTAAAATTAAAGAATTATCTATCTAAAGCCAATCCCATAATCACATAATAAATTAAATTATTTTATCAACCAATTCCTAAAATTAAAAGATTGTTATTATTACCATTTCTGTAATCAAAGCCTCATGAAGTTTTAATTTTCGTAATACAAAATTTAATTATTTTCTAATAAAAGATACTGGTTTCCCTTTATGGAAATCTCTTATTAACGGATTTCATATGAATTCAATTAATCATTGTGGAAAAAATTAACTTTATATCAACAAAGCCAGCCATTGTATTAAATTATACTACAGCATTAAAATGTTCATCCGAGAATATGTCTTGTCGGGCAATCGTTGTCGAAAGGTTGGGAAAGTTGTCCAACATCGGTATGGATGTGCAACACATTTTTTGATCATCATTAAGATACAGTTTTTTTACTATAATTGATTCATAATGGTCTTTTTATTTTTATTAAACAGTAATAGTTAATTCATAATGGTCTAATCTTCGAAATATTTGATGAGCAAGTAAATTTCTTGTTAAGGAAAGGATAATAGCTTTTTTTGCTGTTAACTGATCGAAATATTTGATAAACATTAATGTTATGTGGTGAGCAATATTAAGGAAAAAATTTATTATAAAAGGGATGTTTTTACCGCATGGTTTTAAGGATTTTCTTTTTAAGATTATCCTAAAATTAATTATTCCCAGAATAAAGTAATTGTAATTAGTAATACCCCACAAACATTCATTCTTATTTAATTAGCTTTATGAAATTATTATTTGGTTTGATTTATTTTGTACAAATTAAATCTAATTAATTGAAAGAACGAAATAAACTATCAAATATGACTATCCCTAGAGAAAAACTTTATATAAATGAAGCCCTCAAAATGGATAATTTAATGTATCGATCATTAACTATAATATCAAGATGTTTTCAAAAAGAATCCTAAATATTTTACTTATTCTTAACTTACCCTATTTCATTATTTCAGCACCACTAACTTCAGATGATGCTACATGTCCAAATCTTAGTGGAACAAACGAACCACTCATAGATTATAACGTTGTGTTAAAAACAGATGCTACAAATTATGATTCTGTTGTAAAGAATCATTTTGAAATGTTAGAAAAATGTCTACAGAGAGAAAGACATAATGTTCATGAATTAGATTTTTCCTCCATTAAAGATAACAATAATGTGATTTTCGATTTCAGTGTAAAAGGAATGATTGCTGGATATACTACCAAATTTACCAAAAGTTTTGTTGAGAATTATTTGTCTAAACTTAATGATGTTGCAATAGTAAATGAAAATAAGGTTATTGAAGATCCATTTGAAAATGAAGTTTTTAAACAAGCGCCATTTGTACGAAGAGCCGAAAGACTTGCTGATAAAATGCCTGTAAGTATTGGACAATTTGAGAAACAATTTTTTTTTTTTTTTTTTAATGAAAAGTTTTTTTACACCTTTTTTTATTTTAGAATCTTGATCGTATTGATCAGGAAAATTTTCCTTTGGACTTGAAATATATATATCCTGATAGTGCTGGAGCGGGAGTTGATGTATTTGTAGTAGATTCGTGTGTATTAAAAATTACTATATGCAATGCAATTTTTTATGCATTGATTAACCGTAATAATAATTATTACTTTTTATTTTAGAGGAATTTTTCTTGAACATGAAGAGTTTCAAGGTAGACAAGGTAAAACCATAGTTGAAAAGACTTTTTGTAACAATCCAGCAGATGACAATGGACATGGAACAAATGTTGCCAGTCTTGTAGGAGGAAAAACTCTTGGAGTTGCAAGTAATGCAAATATAATTGGTGTCAAAATAACGGGAAACGATTGTCCATTAACTTCACAAAACATTATTAATGGAATCACTTATGTTATGCAACAAAAAGCAAATGATCCTGGAAGGAAAATAGTTTTAAAGTAAGTTAATATTAATATGAAATATACTGTAAAATATTTTATATATGCTGAATTTTTTTTTTAAAAAAAAAAGTTTGTCAGCGACTTCAACAGATTCTGCTGTTGGTGATGCAGCAAGTAAGGCAGTTGAAGCTGGAATTCATTTTGTTGTCGGAGCTGGCAATAGAAATCTAGATGCGTGTGGATTTTTCCCAGGTAAAGTTGAAACGGTGGTAACTGTCACTGCATCTAAGATCACCACTAATCAACAAGATTGGATCACTGATTGGTGCAACTGGGGAAAATGTGTTACTCTTTTTGCTCCGGGCGAAAATGTTCCAGTAGCTGGAATTGGAAATCCTAGTGAAATTAAATTGGAATCAGGAACAAGTCTTTCCGCTCCGCATGTTTCTGGTGCTATTGCTTTGATGCTAGCTAACGGTGATTTCACTCCTGAACAATCTAAAGCAGAACTCTTGAGAATTGCTTCTAAAGATAAAATTCAAGGCCTCAAATATCGCCCAACTGCTAATGTATTATTGCGTGTCCCTTCACCATAACCAACAATCATTGAATGATAAGGAAAAGAGTTATTATTTTATTTTTATTAAAATATTCATTTTTTAAATTCACTTACAAAATTTAAAAATATTAGTAATTAGTAATTTAATTTAAAAATACTTGTAATTACAAATAATTCAAATTGAAATTAAACAATTTAAATAAATCCAACTTTTTTGATCGTGTTGAATAATAGTAATTAGCCGTTTCCAAAATGATTGAATTTCATAATATCAGAGCTTCAACATAGTTTGAAGTTTATTTCATAGATACAGTGCAGATATCAGTCAACTGATGTTCTTTTCGCCCGTAGATGGGAACCGCTAAGCACAGGACATTTCGCCGAAGAGACGTTTCGCCGAAACTCCATTTCACGGTGAATGGACATTTTGCCGAAGCCATTTCGCCGAATGGAAAGAAGTCTTAGATTGGTGAATTTCATGATCAGAATCATTTGATTTTGAAGTTTTTGATTTCTGTTGATTTTTAATCAGTTTTTTTTTTTAAAAAAAAAATATACAGTATACTAGGAAACGGAAACCGTTGTGAGTCCGGAGCGAAAAATTTTGTATAAAAAATTTAAAAATTTTTATTTATTTGTACTTTTCAAGATTAGCTAAACAAGATAAAAAATGATTAAGTTTAAACTATGTTCCTACGAAGAAAATAAAATTAAAACATTAGGAACATCTCTTTAAAGTTAAAAATTAAAAAAAAAAATTTATTTAAAAAACCCTATCGAAAAAGTATCAAACAAATAAAAAATCTGCTCTTTCCAATTTACCTTTAAAAGTCCAGTGTGTACAAAATCCTGGCGCCCCTAGAAAAAAACAAGAAATGAAACGTTAGAAACGTTTCTTTAAACTCAAACAAATAAGAAAAGTCCCTCTTCCTTATTTACCTTTAAAAGTCTGCCATGTACAAAATCCCAGCATCCCTAGAAAAAAAAAAATAAAAATGAAACGTTAGAAACGTTTCTTTAAAGTCAAACAAATAAAAAAAATCCCAATTTACCTTTAAAGTCCGTATATTCAAAAAATCTGGAAACCCTAGAAAAAAATAAGAAATGAGACGTTAGAAACGTTTCTTTAAAGTCAAACAAATAAAAAAAACCCTCTCCTTTTCCCAATTTACCTTTAAAGTCCGGTATGTTCAAGAAATCCGGAAACCCTAGAAAAAAAATAAGAAATGAAACGTTAGAAACGTTTCTTTAAAGTCAAACAAATAAGAAAAGCCTTCTTTTCTATTTTTCTTTAAAGACTGGCGTGTACAAAAAACCCAGCGTCCCTAGAAAAAAAAATAAAAAATGAAACGTTAGAAACGTTTCTTTAAAGTAAAACAAATAAAAAAAACCACCTCTTTCCAATTCAATGACACGCTCTGTGCGGACCAATCAAAAATGACGCGTGCGGACAAACGGACTTCGCCACGTGATCCAATATGTCGTTAAGGTTCATAAACATATATAGTCCTTCGCTTCGCTCCGGACAATAAATAAACATATTATATAAATATTTTGTGGATAACAAGCATTATATGTATTAGAATACTATAACACAAAATATAATTACTTTTTTCGTGAATATTTAAACTTTTTCAGGAAAATAAAGTTATTACGTAACAATTAATATCAGTTACTTGAATGTTAAAGTGATATTATCACAGAAAATAAGACACTTAAAAATAAAAAAGAATTTTTTGTTTAAACGTTTATTTAATTTTTATTTTTATTGCAAAAATAGGTGATGCGGCAGAAGAATGTAAAATAGAAACTAAAACATGAAAAATATTAAAGTACTCAATCAAGAATCGAAGATATTATTTAACGTCTAAGATTTATTTTATACATTTGTCATTTGTGTATATTCAAGTGCAAATCAGAATATCTATTAAGGTTCCTGATGTAATTTAATAAATAAATAAATAAATTTTATTTTCATTGCGCGATTAATATTTTTATAAAAGTGATAATCGCTATCATTTTCGGCGAAATGGCTTCGGCGAAATGGACGATTCGGTGAAATGGCTTTGGCCAAAGGGATGTTTCGCCGAAGGGACATTTCGCGAAATGGCTTCGGCGAAATGGACGATTCGGTGAAATGACTTCGGCGAAATGTCCCTTCGGCGAGACATCCCTTTGGCGAAATGGCTTCGGCGAAATGTCCCTTCGGCGGAACATCCCTTTGGCGAAATGGCTTCGGCGAAATGTCCCTTCGGCGAAACATCCCTTTGGCGAAATGGCTTTTGCGAGATGCGTTTCGGCGAAATGTACCGTAACCATTTTGTAGGACGCTTCAGAATTCTTTTTTTTGTAGGACATTTCAGATTTTCTTTTTTGTAGGTGACCAAAAAAAGCAAAAAAAGCGCCTAGGGATCGATCTTTTTGTAGAGCGTTTCGGATTTCCAAACTCTTTTCTGTAGGATGATTGTAACCAGGACGATTCGGGTTAACCGGACGATTCGATCTCTTTTTTCTAGAACGGTTTGGGTTTTTTTGTAGGACGATTCGATTTCATTCTTGTAGGGGCGCCAAGATAGTGTTCCAATCCGAGGATAACCGTTCGATCCGACTAGAAATCCTTCATCCGGAAATATCCGTACCGGAACATCTGGATAATCTTTACTTAATCGGTTTTTTTTATAAAAAAAAAAATTTTTAAGAAAAATCTTGTTTAGGATCTTAAATTTAGAAACGGTATGAAAATAATATTACTTTATTTTTTTAAAAACAAATGGTTTTATCGAGAAAACATCATAACATTTATTGAACATAAATATAATATTCGATAAAAATTTATTTATGGTTACGGGACATTTCGCCAAAAGCCATTTCATCGACATTTCAACGAAAAATTGGGCCAACATTATGAATAACTCATAAGCCAGAGATTATTTTTCGGTGAAATGACTTTCGACGTAATATCCGATACCATACGTTTCAATACTTCAAAATTAAGAACCGCCATTACACACCGATTTAAATGATTAAATCAAAAAAGTTAAATTATAAAAAAAGTGAATACAATCCAATAAAATCGTATAATCACGATACAAATAGTTTGATATATTATATAATATTTAAATATGTTGTATTAAAAAAAAATATACATCTTCAAACGCTGTCACCATTAATCCAATAATCCTCAATATTCCTCCCATTTATACCAATAAGAATTAAAATTCTTATTATAAGGTTTAATTTCGCTAACTTTTAATTCTTTTAATATATTATTACCATTACCACTACTACTATAATTATCGATAACATAATTTAATTCATCATTTAACCACCTTTGAAAATTTTCAATATGATCCCTATTAAAAAAATCCTTTTGAAATCTAATCTCTCTTAAAGAAGTAAAATCATTAATAATAACATGATCCACCATAATTTTCAAATAATCTTTATGATTTTCAAAAATATTATGAAAAGCAATAGTAATAAAATTAGAATTAGATTTCATTAATAAAAATTCAAATTCTTTTGAAGTTAAAAAAAAATTAATATCTAAATAAATTAAAGAAGTAGGAAGGGATTCAGCTAATTTAATAATATTATCTAAAGATAATTTAAAATATTTTGAAGCATTTAAAAATAAATATTTTAAAGATAAATTTTTTAATAAATTACTAAAAATTTCCAATAAATCATTAGAAATATTTAAAGAAAGATGAGTAATATTTGGATTAAAATTTTTTAAAGTAATAAGAACGGGAATAGGAACTTTATATAAAGTAGAAGAAAAAATTTTTAAATTTCTACCAATTAATTTAAGAAAATAAATTAAAGTAGGAATATTTGTATCATTAAAATTATAATAAAAATTTTTAACGTTAAGATTAAAATCAGGATTAGGTAAAGTACTAAGATTTAAATTATGTTCAAAATCATCACCTTTAGTACTTTGAAATAAATCCAAAGTAATTAAATTTCTACAAGTATTTAAAAATTTAATTAATAAAATTACGTCAGATAAACCTTCAAAACGTAAATAAGTTAAAGAATTATTATGATCTTCTAAAGCAGAATAAAATTTCGAAGAATCCCCCCAAAAATTACTTAAAGATAAATATTCTAAATTTTTTTGAGCTTGAATTAATTTAATTATTGAATCATCAATATCAGAATATTCATATCTATTATTTTTATAAATATGAATAGATAAATGTTGAATATTATAAGTATATTCAGATAAATTATTAAATAAATTATTCCATGATAAATAATATTCCTCAATTATATTAAAATTTTGAAATTTGAATTCATTTAATTTATGTAATACTGATTCAATTCCATTATATGAAGTAATATCAGTATATTTGATATCATTATTATTTTGATAATTGATTAATTTAAATCCATTAGAATATTTACAAAATAAATTTCCCAATAATCTTGCAAGTAAATGAATTTTTTGTTCCAATTTATTTGGATCATAAACTTTCTTATTATTATTATTATTAAATATCCATAATTTTATTGCATAAATAAAATTATTTATATCAAAATATTGAATATATTTTGGATATTCAAATAATAATTTATTATTATTACTGTTACTGTTATTAATATTATCTGGTACTTTAATATCTTGAGCTCTTAATAATTCTTTTTCTTCTACTGCTAAAAAACTAATATAAATTTTTAATAATTTTAAACCAAAATCTTTTGGATATCCATATTCAAATGGTCGACGCCATAATAACGGTATCGATAATCTACACCAATGTCGATTTACTAAAGCACATGAGAATAAAGTATTTCTATCATTATCCATTGAATCTAAAATTTCTTCAAAACAATTTGATGGAAGTTTTTGCATAATATGATTTTGAGATTCTGAAAATTCTGAAAATTCTTTAAATTCAAATCCTTGAAATTTATTATTAATATTAACATCTTCATGTTTAAAACTCTTTATCCTATGTTTTATAAGTTGAACTGGAGATTTTGTATCTAAAAAAGATATAATAAAAAGTTGTTATTATAAAGTTATTATATATTTTAAAGAAAAACGAAGAAAAAAACACAACTTACTTAAGAACATGTTTAAATTTGTTTATCATAACCAATTTTTTTGTAATTAAAAAAAAAAAAAGGCGGGTAGATCAATTCCTTTTTTAAATTATTTGAGGTCAGTATGTTGTCATTCAACCAATTAATCAATTAATCAAATTTAAAAAAATTACGAGTATTTAAAGAATTCTCGTGTAACAATTATCCTCTGATTCACGGCTTCTTTGTTCCGATAATCATTGATAAGTAAGGTAAATCTTGATTACGTAATTATGTAACACAAATTATTAATTTTTTTAATCTTTACCATATTTATTTAATTGCGGTGAATATTTTTAGCGGGATCATTTTCTTGGCAAAATTGATGTGCATTATAATAATAATAATAATATACAGTAATAAAAATATTTTTATTTTCTGCGGCAAATCGTTTATTTTTATATTATGAAACCTTTTGATTTTTTCATACTTAATTATATACAAAAATTTGTTGCATAAAAATGTTATTAAAATGTTGTTTTTCTTGAAATTTAAACCAATAATAAAAGTAAATTTATTTTAGTCATCATCGTCGTCCATAGCATCATCGCCTAGAATATTCGATAATGTATCAGGTTTGCTCACAACCTCGGTACACTAAAAAGAAAGAAATAGAAGAAATTGTTATATATATATATATATATGTATGTATATATGCTTTGTTTATATCCCCAAATTTATTCTATACTTACGGAAATTTTTTTCCAAACTTCTCTCTGTTTTATATTTGCTTGATTTTCATAAGCGACAATGGCAATATCAACATTAGGTCCCCAATACCAAGATAACATTGTAGATTTAATCATTTTATTCATACCACCTCTTTCATTAATTAAACCTTTTCTTCTAGGTACAAAACTATCTGTAACATCAATTTGATAAAATACGTTATCCGTTAAATCCTTACATGTGGATTTCATAAATGCTATGAATTTATATGTATAATTAGGTGGTAACCATCTTTGTCTAACTAATCCTCTTTCAAATAATCCTTTTATTTGCGTTCCACTTTTATGTAAATCATCGTAAAGGATGAAATGACCCGATAATGATTCGGAATCAAACGTTATTGTTGCTGTTTCATCGTTAGGAATATTCCAACGTTGTTTACATCTTCTTTTTGATAATACTACCGATGGTATTAATAATAAATGTATTATTAAGATGAATAATTTCAAAAATTTCATTTTTTTTTTTTAATGATCTTTTAAAAAAATAGATGGAAAATCATATCTTATCTTGATCCAGTATTTCAAGTGAACAATCACACGAGGAACATTCACAAATTTTTAAGATAGAACAAATGTAAAGATATAAAGGGAATTAAAAATTCTATTCGTATTTAAGTAACAAATGCCCACGATCACTTTTAAAATTGAATTTATAAAAACTGCTCAGACATGTAATTCACATACTAATAC